ACCTAAAGAATGACAGAAATTATCTAGATGTAGCAATTATAGAGAAATGAGTGTTGAAGTCTGTATAAATTTAGCCAAGGGTTTGGCTCAGTGGTTCTGCCACCTGTCTCGCAAGTGCAAAGGACTGAGTTTAATCCCTGGCACCAAACAGACAAAAAAGCTAAATTTTGTATTTGTTTACTTGTTTTAGTTCTTTTTTTGCTTTACATATTTTGCAGTGCTGTTGTTTGAAGTATATACCCCAGTACTGAAACTACAACAACAACAAAAGCAAGATTGCTGTTTTCTTGGTGGACTAACCCTTTTATAATTACATATTTCTCTCTATGTCTGGCCATTAACTTTGCTCTGAAGTCTATTTAATCTGATGAAAATATGGTTATTCTTTTTTCACAAAATTCCTTGTTTTATATTCTCCTTCATTTTACTGTTATTCAATTTATTGCATTGAAGTGAATTTATTTTATTTTCCCTCAGTACTGGGGATTGAACTTGGAACCTTGCACTTGCCAGGCAGACATGGAGCCACTGAGCTAAATCCCCAGCCGAAGTGACTTTTGGAAGAGAGCATTGAGTTGAGTCAAGGTTTTATTTATTTTTAAGTCTCTTCTGCCAATCTCTGCCTTTTAATTGGTGTATTTAGATTATTTGCATTTAATAGATTCTTGAAATATAATGGCTTAGCTGTTTTTTGTTTGTTTCTTTTACATGTATTCCCTGTGTTTTCATTTCTGTGCTTTTTCCCCCTGCTTTCCTATGTGTTATATGAACAAATTTTAGATCTATTTGTATTTATCTTTAGTGCTTTTTGTATCTATTTGTATAGGCTTTTTTGATAATGGTGCATCAAAATATTTTATATATGTATCATTGCTATTGTTAACATTTTGTCTATTTGAGTAAAGTGCAAAAACCTTACCATGCTTAAGCCTCTTTTTTCTCCATTATTTACATATAATTATCCTAAATATTTTCTCCACATATATTGGGGTCCATACCACATAATGTTATGCTTTTTTGCTTCATTTCTCAAGCATAATTTATAAAGCTCAAGGAAAGATTTAAAATATTCTTGCTTCCTGTTTTTAAAGATTTTTTAATCAGTTCCTTTCTATAAACACGAATTAACCATTGTTTTAGAGTATATTGTTTCATTGGCAGATTCATTCACTGGTGAGTTAAGTGACTGAGTGCACTGTTAGGAAGTGAGGTTTCTAATCCAGTACTGCAGGAATGAGGACTCACTCCCAAGACATGACATCAATCTCTTCATAAAATTGGCTCCTTCATGATCCCCATACCACTTAAAGGTCCCACCACCTTTCATGGACCAAGCCTCTGAGTGAATTTTGGTGGGAGTGAATCATATGCAAACCATAGCAATGTCCAACAATTCAACACAATTCTGATTCTAACAATTCAGAGTTAGCATCAGTCGCCACAGGTTTAACAGTTCAGTCCTGTCAACAGATGAGATCCTAAAGAAGTGATGGAGACCTCAACTCACTCCACCCACAGGTAGGTTGTAGGTTTGCTGACTTCTGTCACAGGAAAATAATTTTCTAGACACATCAGTGAGAGGCATAAAAAGGTTTATTAGGCAAAAATATAAAAAAAGCAATTCTCAAGAGAGAATTGAGTAAATAAGGTCCAAATTGTATAATTGATAATTTGAAATAGGAAGAAAATGGCTAAAGAAGTAGGGATTCTCATTTATTCCCCTTGTAGAGGTACAAGATCCCAACAATGATTGTAACTGTACTGTATCCCTAAAATGTACCAATAAACTCAATTAAAGCTGAAAAAAAAAGAAGTAGGGAAAGTGGGAAGGATAGGGGAAAGGAAAGAAGGGAAAAGAAAAAATATGAGAAAAGGAAAAATGGAAACAAAATCTTTATAAATAGGGGAGCAGGGAGGGGTGAAGGGAGGGCAGGTCTATAGGGAAAAAAAAACCCAAGATACATCATGTAAAGGTACAAGATCCCAAAGATGAATGTAACTGTACTGTATATCTAAATAATAACAATAAACTTAATGGAAAAAAATAGAAAGAATAGAGTGCAGGTAGTAAAGAGAGGTGCATTATAGCCTGGTGTCTGGGGATTTTATGTAGTCTTGAGGGTGTCTTCAAATTGGGTCGCCTAAGATATGTATTCCTATTATCTATTGGGTTATCCTTTTAGTGGGCTATGTTACAATGCAAACCACTTACCTGTGTTTGAAACTTGGATATGCTGCCCATTAATATTGCTGCTTTCCTGAAGATGGAGGACTATGGGGAACAGCACAATTTACAGTGAAAAATGTTGGCCTAAGCCCAATTTACAGGCTTACCGTAATCTTAAGACCTTTAAGATTTGGGGGGGGGGAGTGGAATTTTTTTACCCTTCCTGGAAGGGCTAAAGCCTTGTATAGCTTTTGAGTCATGAAGCTGAATTTTTAAGAGTACAATTTTAAAATTACAATTAGCCTTGTCTCCTTTCTACCTATCTTTATTTCTACCTGAAGTCCCTGATGACTCTTCCCATTTCATATGCTAATTTCAAGTCCTGAGCCACCTGTAATTCCTTCTGTTCAACTGACTGATCATTGGAGTCCCATGATCGCTTAGTAATGTTCAGTAATTTGCTACAATGTCTCATAGAACTCAGGAAGATGTCTTACTCATCTGTTTATTATAAAGGATTCAACTAAGAAACTTCTAATGAAAAAGACATAGGGCAAGATATAGCTGCAGAGTAGTAATGAGCTTTTGTGTCTTCTTTGGATGTATCATCTTCCCATTAAATGGAATGTATTCACCAAATCTAAAGCTAATTAGATGGCATTTGTAAGCGGTTTCCATGATAATTCCATTGCTTGAGTGTGAGTGCTACATTGTTGATTAAGGAGTAATTGAACTATTTCTCCACTTCCCCTCTCCTTTCAGAAGGTCCAGGAACATGAGTGAAAGTTCTAAACCTTTTAGTCACATGAATAGTTCCTCTGACAACTGGCTTACATACTGAAGCTATCTAGAACCCACTAAAATATTACCTTATTATCACTTAAGAAACGCCCAGCCTTGCTACAAATAGCATTGTAAATTCAGTTAAAATTTCAATTACTTAAGATTGAAAAGCTCTGTATTAAGTACCAACTACAGTTAGTAAACATATCTCTGATCATGTCACTCAATGGTTTTTAAATTTATTATTATACAGAATAAATCTACACTTATTTTATTACTAGGAATGATTATTTAATTTTGCATTAAGAAACAAAGTGCCTATTGAATTACAAGATAAGTCACAATTTAATTTTCTAAGAAAGTTGATGTTAAACATTTAACATGCAAAAATTTTTTATTGACATTTATTATGCATCAAGAAGACTGTAGTGATATTATAAATTTTATAAAATCCAAAATCTATAAATCTACTGAAGTATTTACACATATTTCACAAAGTAGTAATTAATTTAAGAATAAAGTGTTATGCAAATGAAGTAGTGCTGACTTCTGGTTCTATGAATAGGATTTTCAATTTAGAAAATGTTACATTTACTGTAATTTAAGTATTGTATATTATATTTCAATTCTAAGTTTTTCTGGGCATGTTAAAAATAAGAGTGATAGTTATTAGGCTCTATTAGCAAAGAATACACCAATTATGATGGTAACTTAATGTCATGAGAAGATTTAAAAATATAATCAGCTATGGCCAGTAGTGGTGGCACATGCCTGTAATCTCAGCACTCGGGAGGCTGAGGCAGGAGGATTGCTGTGAGTTTTGAGACCAGCCTGGGCTGCACAGTGAGTTCCAGGTCAGTCTCAACTACATAGTGAGACCCTGTCTCAAAAAACAAAGCAAAACAAAACAAAAAATATAATCAGCTAATTCTAGCAATAATTTGATAATACTTTCATGAAATAATAAGAGTTTGGGGAAGTTTATATTTATGACAAAGAAATGCCCAGCCTTGTTACAAAATAGCATTGTAAATTCAGTTAAAATTTCAATATTACTGTACAGATAAAATTTCTGTTATGTGATGATGATGTGAACACACAGTTTGTTGAAGCAAGAAATTGTAGGAAGATAAATGTTTTATTAAATTCAGAAAAATATAACAGAACTAAAATCAGAATTGTTTGTGCTGCACACAAAATTCATAATTGTGCAGTCAAGATGTTTTTGGTAAATCTAAGTGAAAACTGGTTTCTTATACTTACAGACATTAACACACTATGCACACATATACACATACATATATTTACACTGAAAATCCATCATACGTGTATATAGGTGTGTTTGCATATGTATATAAATGTACCTGTATATTTGTGTGTGTGTGTGTGTGTGTGTGTGTGTGTGTGTAGTGACACTACACTGTAAAAGTACAATATTAGTGATTTTCTAGATTTGAGTTTTGGGTGCTGAAAAAGAGAGTGAAAACCCTGGAAAGAGAAGGGAGAAGGGAAGGGAAGGGGACAAGACAAGCAAGACTCAGGAGTGTGCTGTGAAACAAGGGTTATGAATATGTTCATGCAAGGGCCACATTCAAATATGTTTTAATGCTTACTACATTAGCTATCTCATATTCTTCTACGAAAACAGATCAAATATTGGAGGTAAGTTGCAAGTGTGGAGAAAGGCCAAAATTGTTATCCAATAGGAAGTTGTTGAAATCAGTGCCGGGTGCAGAGACTTTCCGGTCCCTACAAGTCATTCAGGCAGAGATGTCCCACGGACAGTTGGAAAGGAAGGCCTGAGATTTTCGAAGGGAACCGTGTGGAGATGAAGAGTCATTGGTATTTAGAGAGCAACTTAAGACGTCACTCAGGGAAAAATATGTGAACCCAAGCTGAGGATAGAACCCCTGGGAATACTGCGTCTTATGCTATCTGCTCAGGTTTCTATCAGGCACCACCACCAAGATCAGGGGTTAAACAGCGCTAGGTTTGAATGTGGCTGTGAGATTCAAAAGCTGAGCAGTCTTGGCAACGTGGGGTACCACGTCGGAACTGCCATCACAGTGAAAACAGGCATCTCTGAGGGATGATATGGGAAGGTGCTCTGGGGCAAAGCACCTGAAGCCAAGAAGCCTAACCCTCCTCCTCTGCTTTGTGATGCCACTCCCCTTTGTGAGTCTCCAACTATCCTCAGGCCCCCAGTTCCCACAGGATAGGTGGGAGACTAAGGTGGGTGTGGGGGATCTCAAGATCCGGTGACGCAGTGCTCACATGACTAGCTTGGCGACTACGTGGGAACCAGCCCCCGCGCCGGCCAACCCTGCAGTCTGGTCCTAGACCCCGCGCCCACGAGTTCCCTGAGCTTCCTGAGCTACCGAAGTCTGAAGAGGCACAGGCCACTCCGGTTTTTGCAGGTCAGTGTGAAGGCGGTGGAGCGCTGATTGCAGGCAGACCTGGAGCATAAGTGGAGGTGGGAGCAGCAGCATCCCACAGCAGCTGGGAGGGGACGTTGAGTCAGATCAGCCAGATTGGCTAGGAGAGGGCGAAATTTGAGCCAGGGAGGGGGATGGGAGAGGGAAAGAGAGGAAAGACCCCCACAGCAGCCCTCTGCATTTTTGACTCCCATCTCATTCCTCCATCCATTTTAGAGCTAGCAAAGGGGGAGATGCCCCGCAGTGCGACACTGAATCGTAGACTCATTATGGAAATAACCCTCCTTTAACACTCTGCATCCGTGGGACAAATGGACCTGGACCAAAAGGGGGTGGGGGAGGGGGCAAGTTGTCTCCTGGGACCAAATGTAGTTAGGAAAGCTAGTTTGGAAAGCGTCTTGGTTTGGTGGCCAAATCCTGAAAAGAAATGGCGACTGGGGTGCGGAAGGAGGGGGTGATGGAGGCAAATGGCTGTGAGGAGCGCTGAGATTCAGGAAAGGCACTGGAGTCACTGTGAGCTCTCTGAGTGTGTAGCCCCTGTTCCTGTGTCTTGTGTCTGCAGGTCTGCGCATTTTTTGTGGCCAGCGCTCTGTGAAGACTGAAAAGAAGGAGCCACCTGCCCAGGATCCCTACAGGTCAGTAGAAGGGCGGCAGCATGCACAAGGACCCAAAGAGTTGAGAGTGCACAGGGCACTGCTTCCCTGCACTCCCCAGGCCTGGATAGAGTGCGGGGACCTTGGTTTGTGTGGGAGGAATATGGGGGAGGGGGGAGAATCCACACCTGGAGGCTGGGCCAGCTTAGAAGAACCATCATAAGGGAGATGCAAGTTTGTTTTGGACCTGGGTTTCACGTCTGTACCCTCATTCTCTCATACCTCCTTTTTGTCTCCTCTTCCCTCCACCCTACCCCCAGGACAGGAACAGGAAGGGAAATCTCAACATGAAAAAGCTCTGCAGTGAAAATGAAGGAAAGCCAGAAAAGGAGGGAAAGGCAGAAGACAAAATAGAGCCTGAAGATGGAGGGAAGACCGAAAAGGAAGAAAAGCCTGACCATGAGGGGAAGCCAGCACCTGAGGGGAAGCGAGAGGGTGAAGGAGAGCAAGATGCTGAGAGACCAGGGGAAGATGAGGGCAAGGCTAAAATACAGAACAAGTTGGGGGATGAGAGCAAGCCACAGGGTGAGGGTCTGCTAGAGTCCCAGGCACAGCCAGCCAGCAAGCAGTTGCCTGCTGAAAAGCACCTGGCAGAAGGTTATGTGCCCCGCAAAGCAAAAAGAAAAACTGATAGGGGGACTGAGGATTCCCCCAAAGACTCTCAGGAGAATTTACAGGACAGCCACTTGAGCAGGGAGGAGATGATGAGAGAGTTCACAGATGTGTCAAAGGGTCAGGAAGAACTAAGGAAAAAACAGAGGATAAATAATTTTTACTGGATGCAAAGAGAGCTGTTGGATGCCTACCCCCCAAGGGGCCCAAGAGGTGTGCGGGGAATGAGGGGTGGAGGTAAGGGCCAAAGAGGCTTGCCAGATATCCCATACCTTTAATGCCTTTGGCCTTCTATTCTGAATTCTCTGATGAGAATACTGCTGGCCCTGCTTCCCTTGGTAGATACTTGCCAGGTCCTGTACTTTAACCTTAAGCTGATACTTTGCTTCAGGTGTCGCTGTCCTTCCCACCTACTGCATTTTGTCTTTTAGTACTGGATTTTCTCCCATGTGCATGGAAGAGATGTCTATGGTATGTTGTAAAATAACAATAAAAAAGCAGTTTGCAGAACCACATATACAGTATCAGCCCAATTTTGTATAATTACAAATATGCTTACATAATGCAATTGTGCACAAGAAGACTCTGAACATATACATACTAAAGAGTAGGCAGTAATTATGTCTACACAGTGGCTAAGAAGAACAGGTCTCACACTTAAAAATGAGAACTACTACCTGTTAAAGTACTTCTGTGCCATTCCTCTTCTGTTGTTCCTACTGTGGGTTTTCTCTAGATGTATCTAAGTCAGTGGGGATTGCTTCCCTTTGTTCTGGGTTCTCAGCCATCCTATGACTCCTCTATGTGTGATTCCTTTTTCTTTCTTCAGTACTGGAGATTGAACCCAAGGTTTCTGCAGAGAGTAAAATCCTCTGCCTTTTTAAATTTTTTATTTTGAAACATCTCACTAAGTGGCTAAATTTCCAATGGCTAGGCTAGAATTTATGTTCATCCTGCCTCAGCCTCCAAGAGTACCGAGATTATAGGTATGCACCACCATGTCAAGCTGTCTTCTTATTCCGCTTTTTAATTTTTTCCCTCAAATGTCCACTTTTTCCCAATAAATATGGATTACATTTACCATAATCAAAATCTTAAAAAGGTAAAGCCAGCAAACAGTTAAACTGCTGAGGGAGCCTATGAGGGCAATAAAGACATAATTTTTGTTATCACAGTGGAAAATAAGTAAAAATCATATTTCCTCTTGAACTCATAGCTAAAGGACAGCCTATCAACTACAGATCCATTGCTGCAAGGGTTAGTATTTTCATCTTGAAATGAGGAACATAGTTGTCTTAACGGATTGCTTAATGGATCACATGACATGCTAAATGTATGAGCTGTGGTGGAAACTAGTCTCCACCAGGTACTTGGGAAGAGTGACTATTTGGGAGTAGGTACTTGTGAGTAGCAGGATCATGGATGCAGTCAGACACTTGAGGAAGGGCTAAAGGAAGTCTCAGTTGGGCCCACGAATAAATCCAGGTAGTTTAACAGATAGATGCTGCTTTGTCCTGTATATTTCCATGTGTGCTAGGCACAGTGCCCTAACTGGTAGTCCCTGCACCATTTACTGATAGGGCTTTATAGTGGCTAAAACTGTGTCAATTTATCTGTATTTCTGGTGAGCTAATGCTCACCACCCTTGGCCCCAGTAGAAGTAGATGGAGTCCTCTCATCACTTAGGAGCTATAGTCACCAGCTACCTGTGGGTGTCACCCTTGTGCTGCTTGGGCCCTAGTAAAAATCTTCCAGATCCTTTTTTTAGAAAAATAATGATTTATGTATAATTCATTGATGTGTATGTGTGTTTTTACAAAGCTAAATAATTTCAAACGTTTCAGACATTGAAGGCTAGGCCAGAAAACAATGTCTTTGATAGTGGCTGTGTTGTTCTCATGTGTTACTATCTTGTTTTCCCTGAAAACTGTCATTAGGCCCCACTTTATCAGCTCAGCAGACCCATCAACACATTTGGGTTTTAAATCCTTACTGGCGAACATGTGTTCCATAGAGCAGCTGCATCAGCAGTAACTGAAAGCTAATTAGAAATTTTAAAAAGGTATCCCAGGCTTTTAACAAGATCCCAAGGTGTGAAGAAATCTTGAGAAGGCTGAGAAACCCCTGCTTAAGAGGGATTCTTTTCAGATTTCCCATTTTCACCTTCACATAAAACATGTACATGAAGAGATAGTATATACATTATATAAGATACACATCACAGATTATTAAATAGCCCCATGGTTGTCAAAATACAGTTATTCTCTTCTACAAAGTTGATCTTAAAATCAATTCATTGTTTCAAGACCTACAACTTTTTAATGAAATGGGATATAATAGAGTCAAATAGAGCCAAATATGCAAGATCAAATTATATTGCAAGTAGTTAGGATGAACAGTGTCTTATGAAAAGTGTTTTAGTTGTGTATGCATGCATGTGTGTGTATTAAGAGTTGTGATAAACCGGGCGTGTTGCTGTGAGTTCAAGACCAGCCTGGGCTACATAGTGAGTTCCAGGTCAGTCTCAATCACACAGTGAGACCCTGTTTCAAAAAAAAAAACAAAACAAAACAAAACAAAAAAGAGTTGTGATAAATTTATTTCCAACAGGATTTTGATTTTAAAAAGTTGAGAAATACTGCACTGGACCTTTTGAATCCTTAGAAATAGCTTATCCATTTCATACAAGCATTTCTAGTGCTCAGTACAAGTGTCTGAGAAGTACTATGTACTTATTGAAAGTGTAAATAATATTTATTAAGTTAGGAAGCACAAATAATTCTCTAAGTTAAGTCCCTATCTATACAATCAACCTTAGACAAATTATTTAATAGAGTTTATTTACAATTAGGGATGAGGATTAGGGAAGCACTACCTTCATAGGCTGTACAGGGACTGCTGTGATTCAGACATAAAAAGGTAGGCCAGGAAAGCTGTCATTGTGAAAGAATACTTTCCCTGTAGCACCAAGAAGAGCTCCTAGGCTGCAGTGTGTGGAACTTCTCAACCTCAGGAAGACAGGCTCTGCAATTTAGAACTAACCAATTTTAGAATCTGTGCAACAAACAGACCCAGTCGAAGATTCTATATAGGTTACAGAAGCACAGCTTCACAAAGGAATGGAAGCATTTCTGCTAGGGTCGGAGCCCAGAAGATCATGGCATCATTGGAGGAGTTGCAGTCACCTACCTGCAGGCTACCATGCTCCACTTAGTGTAACAGAAATAGGGCCTTGGATTTGAGACAATATATATCATTTTGATTTTGTGCTTAGACTCCATATGGTTTCCAGTTTTGAGCGGTACTGAGAGCGAGAAAAAGATCCACGGTATATCCACACTTGTAGCTCAAGCTTCTCTGACACCGCAGCCTGTGGATCCTGCAGATCCAACAGTATTGTGTATATGTTTGGCACAGAGGCTTTATAAAGCCTTGGAAAGCACTGATAGAAAAATTAGACTATTCAGTCCTGGGGTTGTAGTCACTGAATTCTTCACAGTCTTCCTCAGTGTCACAATAGGAATTATGATAAGAGGGTGTAGAATGCACAGGTAAAGGAAACGATGAAGTAAAAGTGGAAGAACTAGTAGTAGGAGCCCTGGGTGTAGCTTTAAAGACGAATCCTGTTAGTGTGGTCTGTGTTTTCATTTTCCTTTTTGCTTCTTTATGGCAGTATCATAAAAGTTCACTCATTTGCCATTCCACTTTTGTGAACCTGGCAACATTTGGAATCATAGCCTATAGTTCTAGCATAGCTGCATTCACTTTTAAGAACACACTACAGACATTGTACGGTAGACAGTATACTCACTGAGAAAACTGTGGAGTTTTCACACATAGAATTGAATACAGAAGTAGAAGCCACCAGAAGGCTGCAAGGCTGTTTGTGTTCCAGCTTTCTAAGTCCTAGTGGCAAGTCATTAATCCGAGTGGTGGGTGGCATGTCTGAACAGCACACCTTGATCATAACTCTGAGCAGTCCTTATATAGTTAGGCTGTCACAGGAGGAGTATCTTTATGTCATCCTCAGTGGGGTGCTTTCTTGCAGGCCTTATTCAGCTCTGGTTTTCCCTGGCTCCCTGGCTTTCCATCCTTTTGCCTTTGTGTCACTCTTGGGCTTTACCACTTCATTTGTTTTCCCCTCATCATTTTTGTTTCTTCTCCTGGCTTTCTGGCTTTCTTTCCTCTTTTGACTCTGCCTCACTCTCTGACTATTCTTTATCCATTAGTATTTCCTCACCTTTTATCATTCCTTAATTTTCCAGTATTTCCTTCACTTCTGAAATACAAGCTGGATTTCACTCATCCTGTAGCTTTTCTTTCTTTCCCACTTTTCCTTGGTTTGAAGACATTCCATCATTTTTCCCTGCAGTTTTTCCATGTTGAGATTTTCCCTTCTATTCCTGTCCTGGGGGTAGGAGACGAGGGAAAAAGAAACGGGAGACTGAGGGCACAGGAGTGGAACCTAAGTCCAGATAGGACTCACATCTCCCTTCTGATGGTTCTCTTAAGTAGGCCTGGCCTCCAGGTGTGCCTTCTGCCCTCCATTCACACCACATTCCTCCTATCACTGACAGCCAGGAAGTCTCTGGTGGGCTCTGTCTTTTTCTGTGCTCCCTAAGCATGGCAAGATGTGTACTCTGTATGTTGAAGGTGTTTGCATTCTGGACCACACATTCGAGCCAGGCCTGGGATGCCAGCACAGTGCTCCATGCCGCCACCCTTCCACTGACCTGCCAGGGACGTGGGTAAGTTGCTTGTTTTTTCTCGGCCCTATAGAGCACTGCCACCACGGACATGCACTACTCCAGACACCTAGGATATGAAGCAGAGGTTGTGCAATCAATCAGTGGGCTCACAGGGACTTGGGTCCCTTTACTAAATATGGGCCCCTATCACTGACCTTTCCTTCTATTACTCCCTCCTCCGAGATCCCAGATGTTTTTTTTTTTTTTTTTCAGAATTTGGGCACCGGACCAGGGTGCCTTCTAAACTATATTTTAGTCCCAGAAGACAACCTATCCCCTTTCCTTCCCCCTCCCGCTTTCTGCCCAGCTCCATATATCTCCATAGATGCAAAATGTAAGTAAAAGGAGATTTTATTTCTGCAATGAGTTTATGTTTATCTTTGCACAGCCCCACACCTGTTTTGAAATGAATAGAAAGGGCATTTTAAAGGCAGCATTCAACTTCCTCCGATTTGCTGGGTCTAGAGACATGCCTGCCCCTTCGTGGGCTCCGAGAAGCCTTCTTGCTGTTCCCCTGCTGCTCAGATCATCTCTGGGAACTGATTCTAGGATCCAACTACAAGGCCACGGGGCAAGCAGGCAGGAGCACAGCTTGGGTTGGTCCCCAGTCAGTCCTGTTAGGATGGCATCACCCAAATTTACAGGACCTCCTTGCACTACTTCCTCCCAGGGGAACTAAGAAGTTGTGAAAGTAGGGGCTAACACAGAGCAGAGAATGAAGGTAAAGTTTCCTAACCTAAGGTGATTTACCTGGTGCATCTCATA